AACTGGGTTCGGGCAAATGTATAGTTCTCTCCACGGTATAATGATAGTTATTAATGCAACTATATGATACTATATGGAAAATAAGTAAAAAAAAAAAAAAAAAAGAAAAAAAAACATAAATAATCGAAGTAAATGAAAAAAATATTTGAGAGAGGATCAAAGAGAAATGAAAATGAGTGAAAGAAAATATAATTAAACTGGATACTGGTCGCAACCCAGTCACCGTTTCATCTAGGGCTTTATTGAAAATGATTGTAAGTAATTAATAATTATTATATCGCGGACGATGTTTATTATTCCTATTATTAAGCTGATTATTATTATTATTATTATTATTATTATTATTATTATTATTATTATTATTATTATATTATTATTATTATATTATTATTATTATATTATTATTATTATTATTATTATTATTATTATTATTATATTGTGAGCGTCATGTTAATATTATGTTATTGTTTTTATTGTGTGTTGTTTTGTATGTACCTATCAGCTTATAATAATAATATTATTATTATTATGATGACGGACGGATAAGAGACAATGATTCACGTATTACGCGTAATAGAGGTATATACGAGCGAATATATTTTAATTTCTTCTTTATTTTTTTTCTTTTTTTTCTGTTTTTTCTTTCTTTTTTCTTTTTTTTTTAACGCATGTCACGCTTCTACACGTGCAGGACTATTGCAGAGACAAGAATATGAACGATGTCTGTATTTTAATTTTCTTTTATATTTTTTTTTTCTTCTTTTCTTTTTTTTTTTTTTTTTTTTGTTTTAGATCAAATTCCTTTGATCAATTGTGGAAATGTAATTATTTGCGGGGTGTATATTGGAACGAAAGGTATATTTTTTATTATCTCGTTGCGGGCACTTTATTGTATTTTGTGCATCCATTTGCCTTACGTATAAGATTTGTACTTACACATTAGATTTAATCTTCCGCGTTCGTACCTATATCTTAATTTTATTCTTTTTATTATTAATCTTCTTTTTTTTTTGTTTAAATTTTTTATTATTATTATTATTTTTATTTTTTATTTATTTCTCTTTTTTTTTTTTTTTTTTTTGGTTCGATCGAAACGTCTCATAACTTTCGCGCTGTTTTATATTCATTAGCGAGTTCACTGGTGTCACGTTATACAACATCGGGTAAAAGTGCAATCTTTTCGTTTATTTGAAAAAAAAAAAAGAAAATTATCGCGTTCGTTTATCCTCTCGTTCGTAAAAAAAAAAAAAAGAAGAAAGAAAGAAAAAAAAGAAAAATAAAGAAAAGAAAATTAAGATCGATTAAAGAAGAAGGAGAGAGAAAATAAAAAAAGAAGAACGTATCGTTGGATATATATATATATATATATATATATATATATATATATATATATATATATATGGCTTATGTAACGTGACTCTCGATAAAAAATATCAATATACATTAGAAAACCAATTTTTTTTTTTATTTGTAAATACGATCACGATTAATTTGTTTACGATGAAAGGTAAGTGAATAAAATGTATATTAAATGTGTATTCTCTATATGTATATTGTTTTAAGAGAATAAAAATTTACGATGAAATGATACATATTAAAATATCAAATTTGACGAAGATTGTACGTTACTTGAGCCATGACGATCCAAAAGTTTGTAAAACTAAATAGAAAAAAAAAATTGTCATAGAAATCAACATATATATGCATATATATATATATATATATATATATATATATATATATATAAACACACACAACAAACACACAAATGAATGAATACGTGCGTACGCTTCTTTAATACGATCCTTCCGTTCGATTGATTTATTTTCAATCTTAGATTTTTTTTTTTTATTTTATCTTTTACCTATCCGTTGTTCAATTGATCAGCCTCTCTCAATCGCTAATTCTATTGTACTTGTACGATATCGATTTACAACCATAAGACGCTAGAAATTATACTTTTACTTGTAAATAATTCAAGATATTATTCCTGTATCGAAGTGCAATAATAAAATATGTTTAATTAGTGCCAAAGTAATTGCGACGAAAAGAAAAAGAAAAACGATAAGAAAATGAATAAGAAAAAGAAAAAGAAAAAGAAAAAGATAGATAGAAAGAAAGAAAGAAAAAAATGAAAAAAAGAAAAGTTAACGAAACGATTGACCCACTTCTTAGCACCGGATTACCCGATGGCAGGTGCGATTTCTCTCTCTCTCTCTCTCTCCCTCTCTCTCTCTCTCTCTTTCTATCTCTTTCTCTCTCTCTCTTTCTCTCTCTTTCTCTCTCTTTCTCTCTCTCTCTCTCTCTCTCTCTCTCTCTCTCTCTCTCTCTCTCTCTCTCTCTCTCGTTAAATAAATTCTCGTTAAAGAGGAACGCGACATCATTTTGACGTCACGTTGATGTTTGAAAATGATAATGCGAGGTTGCGCATTAGAAAAGAGATAAAATGCTAAGGAGGATGATTAAAAGAGGATAAAAAAAAAAAAACAGAAAGAAAAAG